TCAATCCGCACCCTCTCGTTCTTTCCCTGCTGCGATGCATTCTGGTCCCTCTCCCTCCTGCTCCAGCTAATCCCCGCCCTGACCCCGAAGCCCTCAGACGCTTCGGAGCCAGGGCGGGGATTAGCTGGTTTTGAGATTGGCAGTCTTGGGGGATTCCCCTTCCAGGGCCGTGATGGAGGAATACGAGTCAGTTCCTCCAGCCGTGGCGTTGGGGTCTGACCAGTGGGGCCCCCCCCTCTTCCTGCCTTTCCGGCTGCCCCGGCTTAGCGTACTTGAGGCCGGGGTTTTGGAAGATGACTCGGCCCCAGGTCCTAGTGTGGAGGTTCCTGGGGTTGGGGAGGGGCTGACGTGGGGGTTTTGGGCCCCGTTGGACCCCGCCTGGATTTTTCTACTCTCCGAGTGGGGCTTACTGTTGCAAGGAGTGGGATTTTCTTCTTCCCCCTCTTCCCTCTGCGTACATTTTGGATTTGGTGTCGACCCCTCCCCGGGTTCAGTTCCATGTCCCTTCGGGTCCATCGGTTCCGTCCTCCGGAGGTTTTCAGCTTCCCGCATCCCGCCTCATGAGATGTGGGAAGCCATTGTGGCTTACCACCTGCGCGACCTGGATTATGCCTCTATTATGAATCTGTCTTCATTCAGGTTTGGGTCTTCGGCTCCCTTCTGGGTTCGTTATGAGGTTTCGGAGTCGTCCTGGCTAGCGGACTGCCCTGTGTTGTCTTTGGATGCTTGACGTACTTTCTGTGACCCTCAACCCGCACGCTTGTGTGGTGTGAGGCGCTGACGGTGGTCCAGGTTTTCCTGTGGGTGCATTTGGGCACCTCACTGCATGCTTGTTCACCCCTGCCCTTCCTCAGGATGTTGGCGTGGTGCAGCTTTTTGGCCAGGTTCCCTCCCTCCCTCTCGGCTGCACAGGTTGCTGAGGACTTGTGTGCTCATGGCTTGTTGGCTTTGGTCTTCCGGTTCTTTTCCCTCCTGGAGCTGTCCTCGGATCGGCTTGTGGAGGCGCTTGGAGCCATTCCTGGATCTGGTGCTTTGGTGTCAGCAGTACGTGTGTCGTCTGCTCTTTTGGAGCAGTTTGCGCCGTTACTACGGGATGCGGTGTGTGTCTATTTTTGCTTCGTGTCTTGTCAGGAGGTGCTCGCTTCCTCCTTGGAATCTGCTTGGGCCCTAGCTTTTAGGTTTCATCGCCTTTTTGTCCCTTGCTGTTTGCAGCTTCTGCAGTCGGGCAACATCTGTGGGCGGCTTCTTCTTGTTGCCACCCGATGTCGGATTTGTTGGTTCCCTGGGGGGGGGGGGGGGGGGGGGGGGGGGCAAGGGGCAGTTCTCCTCGGAGTAGTCGTGCTAGGGTGTAAGGTACGAGATTCAAAGCCGTACCCTAAAGTATCGCTAACAACACCCGCTCTTACTTTGTTATAAATAGTGGAAGTGCAGGGGTTATATAGTAATAATCACCAGTTCTAACTACACGGGACAAGAAATACATCTTGGGGTATAATTTTACAAAAAGGATTTTATTTAACAAATGCCAGATTTCCTCACACTTCTTAGAACGGGGGGGGATGGAGGGGGGTACTTGGATCCACCACAGGATTGATACAAACAAAAGGGGAGGAGGTTCTTTCTCCCTCTACAACCTTGGACTTAAGGTCATTACTCTATTCCACTCCTCTTAGGTCACTACAAAGGGCCTGGGTTTACAAATGGATATACAAAATAAATGTGGATAATCCTCATGTGACACACAGCTGAGCACATACACCTGAATTAACAACACACCACTCTCCCTACAATCCTTATTTCCACAAATTCCTATCTCTAACTCCTAATGAAAAGGGGAAGCACCGCTATAAACATCTATAATACTGCACTTATCGAAATTTGTTGGAGACCATCCACAACACTGGTCTGGTTGTCACTGCCTCCCTCTCCCAAGTGACTGATAGAGGCTAGCACGTGTCCCTGCCTGCCTGGTTCCAATAATGTCCCCCTCCCTATACATGTTATACACATTTCCCAATACTTCATTTATATGTCTTATAATATTCCAGGCTGTGTTTCTACATTTAACACTGTTGTTTCTCTATATTTTCTTGCATCGAATCTGCTTTTTCTTAACCATTTTATCCCTTTTTGTTTACATTTTTTTTAGGAGGTTACATTTTCCTGTTGAGATGATTCTCTGTGCATCTAAAAGGGGTCAGAGTTCCAGACTGTTTTTCAACATTTAACACTGCTATTTCTCCCTACACAAGGGTCTCTCTTACAAGGGCTCGGGGTTTTCCTCTTGTCATGGTAGGCCGACTGGGTCGTTTGCTGGGTCCTTCGGTGCCGTTGGTTATCTTGCTTTCGATTTGAGTTGCACGTGGCGTACACCTCCCGGGTGTGTCCCTCTTTTCCTTCTCTTTGGTGAAGTAGCTCCGAGGAGCCGAAAGGGCTCCCCCAGAAAACTAGCGTTGAATGTACTGTAATGAAAGGTAATTTTCTGGGCGAGACCCGGATGTTCCCCGGCAACCCTTTCTCCCTCCTTCTGGTCAGTGGTTTTTCGTGTGTTTTGATATCCAGCCTCAGAACTGCAGGGGTGGATCGCCGGCGCGAGGGTCTGGGGTTCCCACTTTTCCCTCCCGGGGAGGGGGGAGGGGGCTGCGCAGGCAAGCGACAACGTGGTGACGTCATGCTCGTTTGCTCATTTTCATTTGGGGAGTTCTGTCCACTTGTTTGATTTTCAGTAGTATGAAGTTTCAACCAGAATAGGGGTTTGTTTTGGGATGCTTACTTTTCTGGGTGCCTGACCCGGTCGATGGCAGACATAGAATGCTCCATAACCACATATGCATTTCTATAGGCCATTGCTTCTTGTGCCTCTCTGAGGAGGCCAGGTTCTGGCTCGTGGTCCCCAATAGGCCTAGAACTCCATTCACATTGATGCCAAAGTCTAATATATCCATATCAGTCTTGATATCTCAGGGAAGCCTCTGGGTCTCATCCAGAAAATGGCATTTCATCACATTCAATGGTGGTTTGTTGTAGACGAAGCTAAGCGACTGGGAAGAATAAAAGTTCTAAAGTACTTGTATCCTTAAAAAATGACCTAAACAAAGTAGGTACCTGGAAGATTATGTGGCAAATGGGATTCAATGTGGATAATTGTCACGTACAATGATGTAGTGCAGGATAAGTGAGACCAGCCACATTTAGCTTGAAAATTGTATGAAGAATCTTTAAAGAATTTTAGAGTGTCATCAAAATCCCAAATCCAAACTCCTTTCAAAAAAGGAGTCAAATTCCACCACTTGCTAAAAGTTGCACAACAGGTGGGAGCAGCAGTCAGAAAAACTAACCAAACCCTTGGAATAATCAAGTGTACTTTTGACTTTAAGAAAAAGAAGGTAATGATTCAACTGTATAAATCATTTGGATTACTGTATCCAAGCATGAAGACCTCATCTTCAGGAGAGCATTGCTGCTCTGGAGAAGGTGCAACACCAGGCATCAAAAATCATTCCAGAGCCAAGTCATCTCATGGCCATTGAACGGTTGACCTATGGCTATCAACCTCGGAACGGTTGAAGGCCACAGGGCTAACAAAACTGCAAACCAGGCATGACGGGGTGGATCTCATTGAAACTTAAAATACTGAGCAAGTTAGAGGCTGTTGATCCGGACAATTTCTTCAAAAGGTTGAAATGTAACACAAACAAGAAGCAACGGTTGGCCGAGCGGACAGCACGCTGGACTGTGATCCTGTGGTCCCGGGTTCGATCCCGGGCACCGGCGAGAAACAATGGGCAGAGTTTCTTTCACCCTATGTCCCTGTTACCTAGCAGTAAATAGGTACCTGGGTGTTAGTCAGCTGTCACGGGCTGCTTCCTGTGAGGTGGAGGTCGAGGATCGGGCCGCGGGGACACTAAAGCCCTGAAATCATGTCAAGATAACCTCAAGATAACAACTGTTTCAAGCTCAATAAGCCACAGTGTAGGACTGAGAACAGGAGATGCTTTTTCACCAACAGGGTCATAAACCCATGGAACTGCGTACCTGCCAAAGCTGTAAATGCCAAAACTGTGTAAAGCTTTAATATCTAACAGGAAAAGATCAAGTCAAATGGGGTAGGGACCTTCGACAAGCCACCGGCTTGCTGTCCTCATTGAAGCCCTCTAGGTTTAGGGGCCCTCGGGTAAATCAGATTGAAGGGTTATCTTGGATAGTAAATTGTCATCAGAGGAAATCAAAACAGAATTGCCTTCAAATACTAGATGAATAAATTCTTAAATTATAATGTAGTACTATATTTGTGTTTTGATAAGTTTTCTCTTGCAACTCGCTGGGAAATTGGTGGTAAGATATGGACGAAGAATCTTGTGAAAAACCCCAATGTATTGCTCAACACTGTGCAAAAGAGTACATTAGTTGAAGGGCTCGGCTTCTTGAAGTAAATGTTTAGGTAATTTATCTTGGTGACAAGACTCACAATAATATTTAGATACAGTAACATGATTTTTCAATTTAAAATTTAAGTGTAGGATAAAATGAAGTGAGGAAAGAAGAGCTTTTAATCTATAAAAATACAGAGAAAGAAACTTCAGTGCCTACCTTTAAACCCTTTATTCAGTATGCCTATGAGGTGCTATTTTCATTTTTTCGACAGCAGCCTGTAGGCATACTAAAATATTCCCCAAGTGACGTCAACAGCACCCCATCGGCATACTAAACTATTTGCCGAAGTGACATTAACAACACTTGCCAAAGAGGACAGTGCAGCTAGAAAATATGCTATTGACAGGTGACTTAGTTAAGGGGTAATGCAGTATAGCCTTTTGAGAAAACCTATCGGTAATAAAATTGAAAACTTGTTTTTTATGTCCACTAAGATAAATTTTGATTTTATAAACAAAAAATTTTGTAATTAAAATTTGTAGGTACTTTTAATATTAAAAAAAAGGGTTAATTTTGTACAAATAAATGAGGGTAGGTATGATTGTCTAAAGTAAGTTTGCATCCAGCAGATTGTTGTTGAGCGGGTGAGTATGGGCGGAGTTTCCCCAGTGAAGAGTCCTAGTAAGTTGATCCCAGTGTCTATGGCCTCTAAGTCACCCACCAAAATTGCCCCAGCCCCACCCACTGGACAGCAACAGGTGCGTCACGCTTAAGATACGGGATTCAAGTTTGCTTGTCATGGGGGATGGGAGGTTTCTTCTTTATATCGTGCAGAATCGATTTACTGTGTATCACTTTATACCCGCTTCATTTTCTATAAGGTATCTAAGGTATCATTTTCTTTCTACTTGCCCTATTTAAATACAGTACAGTACTGTATTCGTGGTGGTAATACTTTGTACAATAGTTTTGTCATTTATTTAATTTTCTTCATGGTTTGTGTTTAATATGTTTAGTGCACTTTATTGTGCAGTTTTGGCTTGAAACATAAAATACTCAACCTTGATTAAAAACGTGTGCCTGCTATGTAATTAATGTTAGTCTATAGCATCTTAATTTCTGTGCGATACTGTACTGTACTGTATCTTGAATAAGCTTCATTGTGTTAAGTGGAAAACAATGCTTATATATAGTCATAAAGCTAAGGTTCCTTTCACTATTGTACAGTGCTACCCAATAGCAACTAGCTTGTCTTTTCTTGGCTGCGAAAGTGATCTTGAGTTTTCATTGTATTGGCTTAAAATATGCATCGTTCATGCAGGTCTGTAAACATGCTACCTATTAATATTATGCAGTACAACCTTCAGGAGGCCATAATCATTTTTGTTTAAAGATGATATTGTACCCCCTGGGTCATAAGAGGAAAATCAGAGTGTAATTTCAGTTTTATCACCGAAGAAGGAACATATTTTGTAATTGCATATTCACCACCTGAACTAAAGCTCCTGAGGGGAGTAGACAATGTGGACGAAGGATACCTATTTAAATTAATTAAATGGAGGTAAGACAATGACATCAGTAGAAGCTGGACACAATTCAGTCTTGAGAGATGCAAGGAATTTCTCATACCATTTACGGGTGGTCGGCAAGTGAAATATATTGGGAGGAGGAGGTTGTCAATGCCAATTATAATCATAACTTTAAGAAATAATATGATGGGGAAATAATGTTGAGAAGTAATTAGTATGCTTGGTATAATTGGCTAGGAGTTGGGGCAGAAAGTGCTAGATCACACACCCATATTCACCCATTACTCCCCTGCCCCTTTATTCCTCTAACTGTACCCTAATTTCATCAAATGTAATTTGAAAGTCAAAATATGGAGTTTTAGCAAGACAATCTATGCAGCCCTTGTGAAGCTGATAGTGGTATATGCACCACCTACCACAGTATAATGTATATACCTCAAACCCATTTTAAGGTATACATGCCCTCTCATGCAAAGGTATACATTTCACCATTAAATTCATGCATTGTATTGCTGTACAGTGTTACATTTATTAGCACAGTATACCTTACTACATGCTATTCTCATTAAAGACAAAATAACATTTTCTTTTTAACCCTGTTGAATTTTTGTTAAAAAAAAAAAAACAGCTTTGAATGTAATGAAATGCCATTTTCTGGGTGAGACCCGGAGGCTCCCCGGAGCTATCCAGGCTGATATGGGTATTATTAGACTTTGGCATCAGTCAGTGTGAAGGGAGTTTTTTAGACCTACCGGGGACCACGAGCCAGAACCTGGCCCCCTCAGAGAGGCACGAGGAGCCTATAGAAATGCACATGTGATCTGGAGCATTCTATGTCTGCTATCGACTGGGTCAGGCACCCAGAAAAGTAACCATCCTAAAACAAACCTGGTTAATTTGGTCTATTCTGGTTAAAACTACTACTGAAAGTCAAAAGAGTGGACAGAGCTCTCCAAAGAAAAACAAGGAAATGAACATGTCACCGCTTGCCGCGCTGCCGTCTGCGCAGCTCCTTCCTTCCCAGGAGGGGGAAGGGGGAGACCCAGACCCCTCACGCTGCCTACCCACACCTTCAGTTTGAAGGCTGGATTGCAAAACGCGCGAAAAAAAAGTCGATTAGATGGTGGGAGGGATGCTGGGGAGCCTCCGGGTCTCATCAAGAAAATGGCGTTTCATTACATTCAACGTTGGTTTTCTGTGGGGAGCCCCTTCGACTCCCTAGAGCTACTTTCCAAAAGACGAAAATAAGAGGGACTTATCCGGGAGGTGGTCGGCACTCGCCCCTCAACGTGAAGTCGAGACAACTGGCTGCAACCCTCGGCCCAAAGCGACACAGGCCGGACTAGGCCCTAGAACATTGACCAGGTAGCACACAGTCAGGACCCTGTTCGACCACCAAAAACCCCATGCCTGAATGTCATCCCAAGACATATTACCGAAGACGGCAGCAAGAGCAGCAAATTTACGAACGTCGTGGGCACGGGAATAGACTGCAGGCTGGCTAGACCAAATAACCCTGTGGACAACCTGGGAGACCAGAAGCCTGGAACAGGGAAGAAGGGAAACTGGATCAACCCAAAGTGTGTCCTCTTACACAGAATCCATGGTGCGCAAATAACGGCAGAGAGCCGCAACCGGACACAACACATGATGCACCCTGGCCTGACCTACCAAGCATCAACAGCAACAACCCAAGGACCCCTCCAGAAAGCAGCGTCTCATTCTTCACCAGAAGAAGAAGGAGACGGCTGCAAACGAACAAACCTATCACCAGAGCCAAGAAAGCAGAAACCCCTGTGCCTGAGGAAAGCATGAAGCTCCCCGACCCGACCCCCAGAGGCCAATGCCAACAGAAAAAGAGCCTTGGAGAGACAATCCTGAACCAAAGGGGGCCACAACAAACCGAGGGGTAGAAAGATAAGAGAGAACCCTGTCAAACGAATAGGACGGCTCAGGCAGTGCATAAGCAGGCAGGAGATGAAACAATGCCCGAGACATCTTGCAAAACGGTGCAGAAGTAACAGCGATGCCGAAAGCAAGCTGCAGCGGCTCCGCCAGCTCCACATGATATAAGGTGAAAGTACTTGGCATAAGATGACGATCCTGAAACAGCCACAAGAGAGAGGACAAGACCACCTTAACAGAAAGTGAAGTACTGTATACCTACGAAGAGACAAAAAGAAACTGAAGGACCACCAGGAAATTTCATACTGCTACAGAGACGAAGCATGCAGGTGGGACACCATTAACAAAGCTACCTGATCACCATACAGATGGTGATAGACCTGAGTCATAAATATCATGCACGAAGACTTGGGGAGAAGATCGAACCAGCCACATAATGGACTGGACCGATCATCTGAAAGAGGCAGAGCCGCAGGAATACTCCTGGGTTCAGACACCGAGCAAGAAACAGGAGCTGGAGTCAAACGACCAAGCCTCAAACACATCTGAGGCTTGGTCATCAAGCTTCAAACACATCTTGGTTTGAGGCTATCCACACCTTCAGTTGAGAACTGAAGGTGTGGGTAGCTGGAGTGAAGGGTCTGGGGCTTCCCCTTTCCCCTTCCAGGAAGGGGGGAAGCTACGCAAACGGTGACACGGCACGTGGTGACGTCATGCTCATTTGCTTGTTGTTCTTTGGGGAGTTCTGTCCACTTGCTTGACTTTCAGTAGTAGTGTCAACCAGAATATGGGTTTGTTTTGGGATGCTTACTTTTCTGGGTGCCTGACCCGGTCGATGGCAGACATTAGAATGCTCCAAATCACGTGTGCAATTTTATAGGCCATTGCTCCTTGTGCCTCTCTGAGGGGGGCCAGGTTCTGGCTTGTGGTCCCCGGTAGGCCTAAAGAACTCCATTCACACTGACTGAAGCCAAAGTCTAATAATACCCATATCAGCCTTGATAGCTCCGGGGAGCTGAAGGAGCTCCCTCAAGAAAATCTGTTTTTTAATTGAAACTATGAAATTCTACTGTATATTTCTATCGTGAAAACATTTGTACTGTGATAGTTTGAAAAAAAAAACATGATTTTCTTGGTACTGAAGACTGAATCAAAGTGTACTGTACTGCTTTAATCTGAAAAATGGTTAAACTTTTCCCTTTAGCAGTGGATTGTGTTGATCCCAATTGTGCAGAAGAGGCATTCCATGTATATTTTTACCAAGTATATAGCTCTCAACCACAACTACCCACCACCTTGTGATGCTAATGATTGAATGAATTATTTTATAAATGTTTCCCACATCTTTCTCTGTGTAAAACTTCTCAGGAATGTTCATTTTCATGTGGAAAACCTGAGTATCAATCCTAGCACTCTTGATTCTTTACTCGAGGAGGCTTTTGATCCTTTACTCCTGGAGGATTTATTTTATTTGAGTAAGAAGTGGACTGTGCATCTTTGAGTTGTTTGAAATCCACATTTACAAACATTGGCTGTTTCAGCAAGTGCATATAGCATGAAGATCTATGCCAGCCCCAACTTTCTTGGTTGTATATGACATAACTTTCACAACATAAATTTCCTAAAATGTCTTACTGGTGGAATAACAGATATTTCTGATGGTAGAAATAACCTAATTGACATTACTATTGGATTTTGGCAAGATGGGTCGAAGGTACTAGGTACTATCAGATGCTCTGGCCTCGTCCCAGCTATTGAACCAGTTGAGGTCACCTGTCACTTGAAGAAGTGCAATGTGCAACACGTACCATAGTTATGAACCTTAATTAATTCCCAGTGTGTTATCTCAACACTAGGAATTAATCTAACAGTTGGTGATGCACTTCATTTAGCACATCACCATTAATATCAAGGCCATTAATACTATTATGTACACAGTTGTGATGATATGTACAGATGAGTGACAGATGGGGGGAGAGAGTACGATGAGGTCTTGTGGCACTAGAGCTCAGTCTGCACTTCCAGTCTAGATCGAACTTTGAGTGACAAGCTTACTAATACTAGTCTGGCACCATTGTGCTAGAAGGCCGAGAGGAAAGCTGATGTTGTCAAAAGAATGTTTAGAGCCAGTGTGCCTGTGCTCTAATATCACAGATCAGTTAAGATCATGGATGGAATAGACCTTTCTGACAGTTTTTGAAGAGCAGTTCTTCCTCCCTCTCCCACCAGTAGCTGTTGGCTTGAGCTCCAGGCTTCTCACTCCTCTATGGCCCTTGAATATAAGAAATAACTTTAGATTTTTTTCCTTACATTTTAGTGCTCATTGCACCTGGTAACTTTTTCTTTATAATTGTACTGTACAGCTGTCACTATTTACCACAATTGTCGTGGCACATCAGAACTGGCCATCCCCAAAATGCGTGGCTGCTTGCAGCATGCTGAACGTGTGTCGCACATGTTACAAGTGGTTTATTCATATTAACCTCGTCAGTAATTCTTACTTTCCTTGTTGAGTTCTGCACCAGGTCAAGGATAGTTTTAGCATACTGTATTTTATGCAGAACTCATAATGATGATACTTTCCTCATTTAGAGTATATTTGTCAGTATTCAATATATTTCTGGTATTAAATATGGTATTATATAGAATATAGTATAAGGATGATCAATTTTCACTATTACTTTGGCAAAGTGCTAAAACAATTAATTATTTACAGATTATTACACACCAGATCAGCAGTGGTGGTGCAGTTCGCAACATAGTATCAAGCCCACAAAAAATTGTCATAAAGAGCAGTGTACCACAGCCTGGACAGGTGAGTGAGTACTGGAAAATGTCTCAAAGTGGATACTTTTGGAAGTCATGAATGGTTTCCCTCGGGTTTGAAATAAAATGTTGTGGCAACACAATTTGCAAAGTTCCTTGTCACTGAGGGGCTAATAGTCGACAAGACTATTAGCGGGTTAGCCGTGTCGTCGATAGACCCAGGCCATGGCTTTGGGAGCAACACAAGGGGTTGCACAGAAAAGAAAACTGTTCTATCTTTATTTGTAACAACTAATGGGGTTGGCCACTCTTCTCCATAGAGGGTAAGGATGTGGTAGGCATTGTGTCCTTGGTAATTATCAGAACTGCCAAGCAAACCTTTTCATACCCCTACATCTGTTTTCTTTGTGTGTGTAGTTGAAACACCAAGATGAGAGTAGGCTGTAATTGAAGGTAATGTTTTGCCTGTTGGGGCTTCATTAAATTTAATAAAGTTCTGTACTTGCAGGTGGAACATTATGAACTATTCAAATCTACATTCATTTTGGTGTTTCTCTACATTGTTGTTACCAACTTGTGTTCTTCACTTCCTTTGCATATATGGGACTATTTAGCCGATAGTAGTTTATCTACGTTTTCTTTGTAATGTTTTTTGTTACCAGTATTTACTGAAGCTTGATCTTGCAACTTGTTGAATAATAAATAACAGAATTATTAAAGAGAGAATATTTTTTTTTAAATTGTGCCAATGTTTATTTCAGGGAACAGTAAGCTCAGTGAGAACTGGTCAGATAGTAACTTCAGGAGGACAGCAGGTCATTAAGATACCTGCAAGTCAGGTCCAGCAACTAACAGGTCAAGGGCAAAATGTCCAACTACTTTCCAATAAGGTTGGTACCGTGAAAGTAGTCTTAATTGATCAGTGTTCCAAAATGGCATTGTGTACATATTTGGGGTCTGTTTTTAGATTAGATTTCAAATACTGAGAAATCAACTGGATCTCTGAGGTGACTTGAACCCACGACTGAGAGAATCCCAACCACTGACTAACCACTGGACCACCCTGACAGTCCAGTAGTCAGCAGCTGGGATTCTTTTGCTCACGGGTTTGAGTTGCCTCAGAACTCCAGTTAATATATATACTGTATATCACGTTAGTGTGATTTCTCTGTATATTGAATATTTATTTGTATTTGTATATTGTATTTATATTTATTTGTGTGTAATATGGTAAAAGTCATATAATTGGATTTCTATTGAAATCACAGGCAGTCTGGAGGCCTCTCCTGAAGTCCAAGTTTTACATGTGACCCCCAAGCACTCGGGTGCAGGCGAAGTAGTTCAATACCTTATGCCCCAACTTCGGACACACACAAAATCACAAATTCATAAACAATAAATTGCAGGTAAAGAATAATATTCAGAGGTTGAAAATGGGAAATAGATTCATGGAAAATGAGAAGGAAATGTGTGAAACATTAAACGAAAAGTTCCAAAGTGTGTTTGTACAAAGTGAAATCTTCAGGGAACCAGACACCATAAGAATTCCAGAGAACAACATAGAGCACATAGAGGTGTCTAGAGACAAAGTGGAAAAAATGCTCAAGAAGCTAAGTAAGAACAAAGCAGTTGCTCCAGATGGAGTTTCACCATGGGTTCTGAGAGAATGTGCACCTGAGCTCAGCATACCACTTCAACTGATTTTTCAGGCATCCCTGTGTACAGGAGTTGTAGCTGATGTGTGGAAAAAGGCTAACATAGTTCCAATCAACAAAAGTGGCAGCAGGGAAGACCCCCTCAATTATAGGCCTGTATCATTGACAAGTGTAATGGTCAAAATATTGGAAAAATAATTAAAACTAATTGGGTAGAACACCTGGAGAAAAACGATATAATATCAGACAGTATTGTTTTCGATCTGGAAGATTCTGTGTAACAAATTTATTCATTACACAGATGGTTGGGTTGACTGCATCTATCTGGACCTAAAAAAAGGCTTTTGACAGAGTTTCACATAAGAGGTTATTCTGGAAACTGGAACATTTTGGAGGGGTGACAGGTAAGCTTCTAACATGGATGAAAAATTTCCTAACTGATAGAAAAAGAGGGCCGTAATCAGATGCAATGTATCGGATTGGAAGAATGTCACAAGTGGAGTAACACAGGGTCCAGTTCTTGCACAGGTAATGTTCATTGTTTACATAAACGATCTACCAGATGGAATACAGAATTATTGTCGGGGCTGTATGGCCTTGGGTTGGCAGTTGCAGTTTTTGTCTCTGCTTCGTATTGGGAGTGTGCGTCTTCCACCTCCTGGGTTAGGTCCCTCTTGTTTTCGTCTTTGGGTAGGTAGCTCCGGGGAGCCAACTGGGCTTTCCCCAGAAAATCAGCGTTGAATGTAATGAAACGCCATTTTCTGGGTGAGACTCGGAGGCTCCCCGGTAGGGAGCCGGTCGGCCGAGCAGACAGCACACTGGACTTGTGATCCTGTGATCCCGGGTTCGATCCCGGGCGCTGGCGATAAACAATGGGCGGTTTCTTTTCACCCTATGCCCCTGTTACCTAGCAGTAAAATAGGTACCTGGGTGTTAGTCAGCTGTCACAGGCTGCTTCCTGGGGGTGGAGGCCTGGTCGAGGACCGGGCCGCGGGGCACTAAAAAAAAAAGCCCCGAAATCATCTCAAAAAATCATCTCAAGATAACCTCCCCAGCAACCCTCCGGCAGTTTTTCGTGTGTTTTGATGTCCAGCCTCAGAACTGAGAGGTGGATTGCCGGTGCAGGGGTCTGGGGTTCCCCCCTTTTCCCTACTGAGAATGGGGGAGCTGCGCAGACAGCGGTGCGGCGATGTGTGACGTCATATACTCGTTTGCCCGTTTCTGTTTGGGGAGTTCAATCCACTTGTTCGGCTTTTCATCGCAATTTCACGAGAATAGGGGTTTGTTTTGGGACACTTACCTTTCTGGGTGCCTGACCCAGTCGATGGCAGACATAGAATGCTTCCAACACACGGGCGTTTCTATAGGCCATTGCTCCTTGTGCCTCTCTGAGGGGGCCAGGTTCTGGCTCATGCATGGTTCCGGGTAGGCCCATAGAACTCCATACACGTGACTGATGCCAAAGTCTGACATTAGCATATCTGCCTGGATAGCTCCAGGGAGCCTCCGGGTCTCACCTAGAAAATGGCTTTTCATTACATTCAATGCTGTTTTTTTTTTTTTTCATAAAATGACATTCATGCTGGTGACCATAAGTGGTGTCCCCATTTCTGTTATACACTCTGTGTTCCCAGATGATTTATATGGAGGATGTCAGGAGAAGCATCTAAGTGAGGGAGGGAGAGTTACATAGGGAGGCAGTGAGGGAGACATCAAAGGGGATGTCAGGAGAAGCATCTAAATGAGGGAGGGAGAGTTACACAGGGAGGCAGTGAGGGAGAGATCAAAGAGATGTCGGGAGAAGCATCTTAAGTGAGGGAGGGAGAGATCAAGGGGATGTCGGGAGAAGCATCTTAAGTGAGGGAGGGAGAGATCAAGGGGATGTCGGGAGAAGCATCTAAGTGAGGGAGGGAGAGTTACATAGGGAGGCAGTGAGGGAGACATCAAGGGGATGTCAGGAGAAGCATCTTAAGTGAGGGAGGGAGAGTTACACAGGGAGGCAGTGAGGGAGACATCAAGGGATGTCGGGAGAAGCACCTTAAGTGAGGGAGGGAGGGAGAGTTATACAGGGAGGCAGTGAGGAAGACAGAAGTATCTAGTGGAGGGAGGGAGACATCTAGGAGAAAGAGGAAGGAAGGGATGTTCTTGGGAGGAAGGTTGAGACTCATAGGATGGAGTGAGAGACTGGTAGGTAAGGATAGGAAGAATATCCACGTGATAAAGGAAGGGACATCCAGTAGAAAAAGGACAGTGGCATTCCGATTGTGTGGAGGGACATTGAGGATGGATAGGGGCAGTTCTTGGGTGAAATGAAAAAGATTTTTGCCCATTTGTGATTTCTCGGACATTGATGATAAATTTTTATGCATTCTTTTCTCCATTGATGTGATAAAAGGATAATTTTAGATATAACAACCAGTAAAAAAAGGCTTTGTTAAAGTTTTATGATCTCGTATTTTTTTTTACAGATGAATTATGTACGACTTGTGAATTCAAATGTGGGTGGTGGCGGCGGGGGTGGAACCACCTTGATACGACCTACTCCCTCGACTAATAAACCTATTGCTCCAGCAGCTTCACAACCAATCAAAATAAAGGCAATGCCTATAGCACCCAACCAACAAGTAAGTTTTCCACCTCAGTTTTTTCTCGTTAACCCTTAAGCTGCTACAGCCTTAACCACCATGCTGCGCTGTCATAAAATATGACATTCCCACTGTGCGCAAAAAATAGTCTTTGCAAAAAATTATTTTTTCCACCAAAAGTGTTACGTACCCTCCCCTGATCACATATATGTTGAAAATATTGCACAAATGTACTTACTTTGGTCACAATGGTGTCCAGAAAATGACGTGTGATGTCACGGCTCAGTGGTCGCCCGTGCCGTAGACTCCCGGAGGCAGTTGCGCGCCAGATTCAACAAGCGCGAGTTGCCACAAATATTTTTATTTAATTTTTCTGTACAATTACAAATGCATTTATTATGTTTTTTCTGACTAATTCTATGTATATTGAACAGGTTTACAGCATTCAGGCAGTAAAACATGTGTACTGTTTAAAGAAACTGTTAAATGTATCACAGTTGTGTACCACAAACATTGCTCATATTTTCTATATTACATGTTCAATTATTTACATTTACAACTTGTTTACACACTGTACATGATTCTAGGGCTGGTGTTTCTAAAAGATTTTCTTTCCCCCACCAGCCTCCCCATCCCACTCGCCTGCCATCCATCCATCCATCCACCTATCCAGTCCCCTTGCCATCCATCCATCTACCTATCCAGTCCACCCACCATCCATCCACCCATTTAGTCCCCTCACCATCCGTCCACCCATCCAGTCCCCCCACCATCCATCCACCCATCCAGTCTCCCAACCATCCATCCATGATGGGTAATGTTTGGGGGGGGGGGGTAATGACAGTAGCACACCAAGGTGGCAACAAGCAGTTAACACTTACTAACCACACATCATAATATAACACAATAATATATAAAAGAATAACATACAGTAGCATACACGTGTATGCTACTGTATACGTGTATATAATGACGTTTCAATATAAATGACCAAAATACAAATGGTAATAATGGTACCTTTGACAATTAAGTAATTAAGTATAACCTCAGGTATCCAGCAGTAATTGGTTAGGCTGGGTTATAACAATCAGCAATGACAAATGTGGAGTAATATAGTGAAGATGATAAATTTGTTTAATAACTAAATATACCAGACATACATCCCCCATCTCCCAATACATTGTGTGTCCAAATTTTCAGTTGCAGTTTTACCTAAACTTCTGAATGTTAAATGGATATCTTTATCTTTTCAGACAAATAAGCACCGAGTGATCATCCCGGTGTCGGGATCCGTAACGTCGACCAGTATGGGAGGCGGGGTCCCCATCCGCCCCCAAACTAACCTCACTTTGCCAGCTTCTGCTCTTCCACCAGGGGTGCTTTCTAACACTCAGCCCGGCTCCGTTGTTATGATTCCTGCCCACTATATGTCTCAGGTATTATCTTAAATCTATACTGTAGGGGTCTGCATCATATGACTCTTCAGTGATTATATGTGTACATTCTTTTGATGATAAAAAGGTTGTCATAGGGATAAATGTTAGAAATGTACCCATGGGTACATATGGTACTTGTACGTACGGATACATTTGTGATCTTTCACCCACAGCTCCAATCCAGCACATCAAATAACACAACAGTCCAGATGTCTAACCAGCCTCCTCCCGGTACAATAATTCCACATACTCCTAAGCCGCCGCCATCTCGCACTGTTATAGACGCCAATGGAATAAGACCGAGAAAACCGTGCAACTGTACTAAAAGCCAATGTCTAAAACTGTGAGTTTGGTAATTTACATGTGTATTAAAATATTTAGAGTGAGGAAGTGGGGAGTTAGTGTGAATAATGTACAGTATATAGAATACCTGTATAGCAAGTGACAAGGCTGGGTAGGAGTGTAAAAGTAAAGGGTGAACGTTGTTGTTAGTACTGTATGTGAAAATTCACGAGAATGACTGCGCAGCTAGTTTCATGGAGCACTGGCGTACTGGAGCATGGTGGCGTGTATTTGTGATGATATATAGTGTGAATAATGTACTGCAATGAAAGGATGAGTGATGTGTGTGTGTTCTTTTCTTGGGCTGGCTTCTTGGCAGCTTCCAAGTGCTCTGGTAATTACCCAAGACATATGTCTGATGTGTCTGGTACCACAGACATCAAGCACTGCTTGGCCTCTGCACTTGTGCATACACTTTTGGAAACCAGGATCAGAGTCTAATTGGCTGAGCAAGATTAGACCATCAAGGCAAGATCAAGAACAGCCTGGAGATTACAGTGACCTAAAACCAATAATAATTGCTTAGAAAGTACAAACGAAGCAAGACAATCTACCACTATTAATTGGAAATAAAAAGTAAGAAAAGAAGATAAGCAATAGTTGCCGTTGTCCATTGATTCCACGTGGGGATTAGTAATACATGAGTGAGGTTGTATGTTGGCCTGATCCCCCGAGGATATCTGGACTGCCACCTGGTGGCAAGAGGGTGTAGTTGCATGGAAGATGTTTACCTACGACCAGCTATTGTTTGCCTTGTTTTCTTAGTTTTCAATTCCTTTCAAAAATATTAGCTTCTTTTTGTATCTTCTGTACTTTCTGAGCAGTTTTTCTTGGCTTTTGGGTCACTGATCTCCAGGCTCCTCTTGTCTTGCTGAGTGAACGATATTGTGATCCAGATATCAGGTACAGTATTCCTGAACACGTTCAGAGGCCTGGTAGTGTTTGTATCTGTCTGTAGTATCAGAGCCTTAAGCACCAAGAGGCTCCTAATGTTTATAACCTTCTTTCTTTATATTGCAATTTTTTTCCTCCAAAATGTTGGCAAAATTGGTAGTGATTTTGTATGTTTTATGAGTAATATATACAGTATATATTTAGAAAGCTGATAGATCTTACGAATATATTTCTTGCCCTCAGATACTGTGACTGTTTTGCAAATGGTGAGTTTTGCAATAATTGTAACTGTGCAAACTGTTTCAACAATTTAGGACACGAAGAAGATAGACAGAAGGCTATTAAGGCTTGCTTAGACAGAAACCCACAAGCTTTCAGACCTAAAATTGGTAAAGGTGGCAATGACAACGAGAGAAGACATAACAAAGGATGCAACTGCAAGCGTTCAGGATGCCTTAAAAATTACTGTGAATGTTATGAGGTAATTATTATAGAATCTTGATTTCATTTTGAATATATATTATTTTCAAAGCAGGAAGGACTGTAGGTTATCTTGGAATAGCAACACTGAAACAGAGCAGCACCCTCAGTTTATTAAGCATTTTGTCAACATAATTGTTTAAAAAATGAAATCGGTCAGCAGTGGGGTGAAGCATTTTAGGCACTTGCCAAGCAATTATCACTTACATAGTTAACAAAAATCCACGTGACAAAAGGCCATTGAAAATTTAAATACATTTTATTCTATACAGTACTAATAAAAGATTTTCTTTTCATTATCAAAATTTCATGATCTTTTGTGGATTGTTGATGAGTGTGTTTATTGATGCTTCCTGGTTGAGCAACATGATGATGTGTCCCACTGTGTTTATTGATGCTTCCTGGTTGAGCAACATGATGATGTGTCCCACTGTGTTTATTGATGCTTCCTGGTTGAGCAACATGATGATGTGTCCCACTGTGTTTATTGATGCTTCCTGGTTGAGCAACATGATGATGTGTCCCACTGTGTTTATTGATGCTTCCTGGTTGAGCAACATGATGATGTGTCCCACTGTGTTTATTGATGCTTCCTGGTTGAGCAACATGATGATGTGTCCCACTGTGTTTATTGATGCTTCCTGGTTGAGCAACATGATGATGTGTCCCACTGTGTTTATTGATGCTTCCTGGTTGAGCAACATGATGATGTGTCCCACTGTGTTTATTGATGCTTCCTGGTTGAGCAACATGATGATGTGTCCCACTGTGTTTATTGATGCTTCCTGGTTGAGCAACATGATGATGTGTCCCACTGTGTTTATTGATGCTTCCTGGTTGAGCAACATGATGATGTGTCCCACTGTGTTTATTGATGCTTCCTGGTTGAGCAACATGGTGATGTGTCCCACTGTGTTTATTGATGCTTCCTGGTTGAGCAACATGGTGATGTGTCCCACTGTGTTTATTGATGCTTCCTGGTTGAGCAACATGATGATGTGTCCCACTGTGTTTATTGATGCTTCCTGGTTGAGCAACATGATGATGTGTCCCACTGTGTTTATTGATGCTTCCTGGTTGAGCAACATGATGATGTGTCCCACTGTGTTTATTGATGCTTCCTGGTTGAGCAACATGATGATGTGTCCCACTGTGTTTATTGATGCTTCCTGGTTGAGCAACATGGTGATGTGTCCCACTGTGTTTATTGATGCTTCCTGGTTGAGCAACATGATGATGTGTCCCACTGTGTTTATTGATGCTTCCTGGTTGAGCAACATGATGATGTGTCCCACTGTGTTTATTGATGCTTCCTGGTTGAGCAACATGATGATGTGTCCCACTGTGTTTATTGATGCTTCCTGGTTGAGCAACATGATGATGTGTCCCACTGTGTTTATTGATGCTTCCTGGTTGAGCAACATGATGATGTGTCCCACCACCCCACCACTTGGTCATGCACTACTATAAGATAGTATAAGTGAACAAATCCACGAGGGCCGTGATGAGGGCTAGAACTTGTGCCCGGGATGATCCCAGACGCTGCCTTAGTCGACTAGGCCGCGACATGATCATCTCGGGTGTAAGTTCGATCCCTCATCACGGCCCTTGTGGATTTTTTCATTTGATGCATCACGCTATTGTGATTTCTGTGTGTAAGATAGTATATATCTTATCAATAAGATTCACTTCATACCCCCCTACTTTTTTTATTTGGCAAGAAACCAAATTGGTGAAGTATTGGATAAACTGAAATTGTTGGTGTATGTTTGAATGTTTTCTTCCTAAAATAAATATATAAATATTTTCATATACACTCACATAGCTTGTTCCTGTTCTATCGTTCTGAAGCTACCATAGGTTTTATATGTTGCATACCTTGATGACTCAACTCAAGCAACCAATATATGACATTGGTGTCACAAAAACTTCAGTGACCTTATTCATATATGTTGCATGGGAACCACTGGAGACAGTTTCATATAACTAGGATAGACTTATGCTGAGAATGTCTCATAGCAGGCATAAGTTCTTCCAGCACTACCAGTGATCCCACACAAGTTTGTGACTTGTGTGAGATCCCTATATGAAGGGATCATATAGTAAGGGCAGAAGACTCAGTATCTTAAGGAAGAGTGGAACACAGTGAAAGAAAGGGTGGGGGAGAGAGGTCAGAGTTTGAAGAATTGGCAGCTTTGTGTAATGATATAGCCTCCTGGAGAAATTTCTGCTGCGGCCAGCCTTTCAGGAGGCCTGGGCGACGACCGGGCCGCGGGGACGCTAAGCCCCGGAAGCACCTCAAGGTAGGTAACCCATAACAGGGAGCGTCCAGGAGGAAGGGAGTGAGTGATGCATTGAGGGGGATATATAGAGAGATGCAAAATACAAAATTCTGTCTTGCTGTGCTTCGCTATTGGAGTTTTTGTCCTTGATCTCCCGAGCTAACGTTCATGAAATGATGTACAATATAATTGGTCTGTGAAGTTTTACTCCTCTCAGAATGTTTTAGGGAATTTCCATTTAATTATATAACTTTTAAGACAATATTTACTGGCAGCAGCATTGGGTATTATTGAACTATATTCTGCTGTGAAAACTCAAGCTTTTATTTCTTCTGGTTAAGGCACTGTCTTTGTAAGAACTCTTTCAAACATTAATTTCCTGCTAAGAATATAACAAGTACCTTTGTGTGTGTGTGAATTATTTTAAAATTCTGGATGATGGCATCTGGCTTTCATCCAGATTGCAGAACAATACTTCAAGGCATGAATTTCATATTCACTTCAATGTGCATCACCTTTGCTAAGTGTTATTATATCTATCTACAGAGGTTGACTCCCATAATATGTAACCCTGAAATAAATAACCACATACATTGGGGTAATGTGTAAACTGTCTAGCCTTTCTAAGGAGTTTATTCTGTGACTTTTTTTACCAGTGTCATTTGAAAAAGCAGACGTCTCCCTTGATAATCTGTGGAGAATGTAATGAGCATGAACTTTGAATATGTACATATTTAGCTTGTGTAATTAGATGGTAAATCTGAAACAGTGATATTAATATCCTGTTCGAATCATTAAAGAACTTAATTTTTGTCTTTTAGGCCAAGATACCTTGCTCTAATATGTGTAAATGTGTTGGCTGTAAAAATGTTGACATGAATCCAGCCGTAGAGAGGAAAGGATTGATGCAACTAGCAGAGTGTGCAGAAGCCAGAGTCAACCAACAAAAGGCTGTCAAGTCCAAACTTCCCTCATTTTCTCATCATTCGCCTTCAAAAATGTTTTTACCTACATCAACAAAGTAAGCTTTGATCTATAAGTTCAGTGTTCTCAGCATGTTGTGAAATATAGCTTATCATTGGATGTTGCAACGTTTTATTTGTAAAACAATTTCAGGCATTTTGTTTCCTATAACTGTGTTGTATTTAAGCATTTTCCATTCTATATTCTGAGCTGTTGCCTTTTGGTTGCTTCCTGTGGTTAAAAATTCAGAGGTTCAGAGAGGTGTCATGGACAGTCAGGCAGGACATCATTCAGGCACAGCTGCCAGAGGGATCTTTCAGACATCCGTGCAAGATATTTGAAAGTTAAAGGATTTTCTAGAAAGTTATAGAATTTTCACTCGATATAACAAGTAACTGCTGAGTCTTAATAACAACAACTTGTTTGCATGATCAAACCATTTACCCACTGACAGGTTTCAGTACAGGATCATAATCCTGGGATTCTATGGCAAGTGCTTGTCCTATAACTTTTGGGATCTTCCTTCAGGAAGATCCCAAAAGTTAATTCAGCCAAGAAGATCTTGGCTGAATTAGGTGTTGCTCCTTGAGCTTTGACTGTGGGCTATCCAGGTCCTGACCGAGCTTGAGGACTTGGCTTGTTTGGACACCCAGTTCCAAACATTGTTGCCTAACCAGGGACCAGACATTGGCAGTGCTGGGGAGTGTTTGTTTCTGGTTGTTTCAATTTTCTCTTAAAGATGTCCACGGTTGTTCCGGCAATATTTGTGTATTCACGGTTATTTCTGGCAATTAAGTACATAATTTAGTATTTGCATCTAGAAATCCTCACTATAGCCTTTATTATCTTTTGCTGTTTTAGTGCTGTTATTGATGGGGGTGATGGTGGAAATCCTAATCCAGCCACTTTGATGTCCCATTGACAGTATGAAGTTGCTTGTCATTTCTTGCACTGTGAGCTATCTTTTCACAAAATTTCCAACTTTGAAGGCATATAGGTTTATGCCTAATATAATTGCTTTGAGTCAGGCAGCTCTCTCATAAACTCTCTACCTGGGTTTTGGCATCGACCTAGTGGGTCCATCTTTCCTTTAGAGTCGTCTCTTTCTTCATATTCACCCGTATGCTCATGGAATCTGCCTCATTTCTTGATAACATTCTTGATTTCCATTACAAAGAGGTTTTATTATCTTTTCATTTACAAAATTTCTCTCAAGACACACCGTTATTTATGAGTCATTGAGCAAGATGCCTGCAGTGCTTTGTTGAGAGGGGTAGATATTTTTTGGCCATGGAGACTCCTATGTGAGGTTCCATCCATAACCCTTTGCTCCTTGGCAAAAATGACATTAGTTCGTTTTGATGAGTTTTATCTACATTAAGGGTTCATCATGTGCTCTTTCTGATTTCTCTTTGGTGTTATCTGGATGCCTTTCATATGTGAGGACATTGTAATATTAACACATTTCATGCTCCAAGGTGCTGGTCTCTTTAAGTTGCCACGGTGGCTAGTAAAGCAAAGTCAACTTAGCCCCCAGGCTCACGATTTGCAGAATTTTTCTACCTACAAGGTATTTGTCTATAGAATTTTGCTTTGATGCTCCAAAATATTTACCTATGATTTCCTGCATTTATCACTGATGATCCATTAGACTTCTTGAAGTCTTCTTGAAGACTCTGGGGTGGTGATTGTATCTTCTCCTTTTATCTACTGTGCAAATGCTCTCCGCCCTGGTTCCTTCATTGCTGCTCAGCACAACAGGTGATTACCTTCTCTTTAAAGTGCCTTATTTTGTCTTGTTTCAGTGGATGTCTGTTTTGAAGGCTTACAGTTATAGCCAATAGCTCAGAAATGAGACCGAGTCAATGTGAAAAGTTCCTTTGAGCAAACATTCAGTTGCTCCTGGTTTCACCTATTCCTGTTTGATACCTGCTTGATGGGGTTCTGGGAGTTCTACTCCCCAAGCCTGGCCTGAGGCCAGGCTTGACTTGTGAGAGTTTGGTCCACCAAGCTGTTGCTTGGAGCGGCCCGCAGGCCCACCTCAGCCCGGTTGGTCCGGCACTCCTTGGAGAAAATTATCCAGTTTTCTCTTAAAGATGTCCACGGTTGTTCTGGCAATATTTCTGTATTCACGGTTATTTCCGGCAATTAAGTACATAATTTAGTATTTGCATATTGAATGAATGTGATCAGGGTATGGAAATTTTGGATGGACACTGATGCTACCACCTCTTGCTAGATGGCTGGTATGACCTGGCAGGTGATGAGTTGTTTTGAAGCTTTGTATGGTGATCATGTGATAGCAAGTGATGATTCTGTAGGGCTTTGAGTCTTTATGGAAGTACCTCTGACACATTCTTGGGTGGTCTGAGTTTATCTCTACTACCTCCCTGGTACCTAAAATGGCTAGGAACACTTGAGAAAATCTGTGGCATTGGTGCTGGCATGTCATTATGCTTGACTGTTGGTGAATACTGTCTGCGGCACAATGGTTTCTTTCTCTAGAGAGCAAACTGTTGTCTATATAGAAAGAAATTTTTCATATTTACTCCAAGCCTGGGGCCAGATTCATGAAGCAGTTACGCAAGCACTTACGAACCTGTACATCTTTTCTCAATCTTTGGCAGCTTTGTTTACAATTATTAAACAGTTAATGAGCTCCGAAGCACCAGGAGACTGTTTATAACAATAACAACAGTTGATTGGCAAGTTTTCATGCTTGTAAACTGTTTAATAAATGTAACGAAAACCGTCAAAGATTGAGGAAAGGTGTGCACGTTCGTAAGTACTCGCATAACTACTTCCTGAATCTTGCCCCTGATTTTTATCTCTATTAACTACTGTATATTTAACTCGGCAGTAAATTATTTGGTTTGAATTTTTATTTATATGAGTGTATACCAGCATGTTTTCCTATTAGATGATTATTTTTTCCTCCCAGATCTGGTTACTGTCGCATGAACCAAGAAGTTGTGGAAGCAACGTGCCAGTGTCTCCTGGCCCAAGCCGACAAAGCTGAGAGTGCCCTGGTGTCTAAGGCCCAATTGGAGCATACAGTAATTGCAGAATTTTCCCGATGCCTAATGCAAATTATTGGTAGCTATACATCTCGGTCTAGAGGTTAGTGTTTTGAATCCTTAGGGTTCTGTTAATAATTTTTCAATGTGCTATTTCAATGGCAAATCAGTAAGTATAGAGCTTTAGAATATTCTCTTTATTTTTATTTAGTTTTATAATACTGCTTTTGTATTTAACAGTAAATAAGGGTAAGAAATAACCCAACCCACACACACAGAAGGAATTAAAAGTGACGACATTTTGGTCTGTCCTTGACCTTTACCAGTTAAGTTGACTCTTATGTTTCTACTTGAGGGGTTCCGTGCTGTGGTATTCTTTCCATGGAATAGTAATTACATAAGTGTAATTACTGGGAGTTAATTATTAAAGGGAGCCGGTCGGCCGAGCGGACAGCACGCTGGACTTGTGATCCTGTGGTCCTGGGTTCGATCCCAGGCACCGGCGAGAAACAATGGGCAGAGTTTCTTTCACCCTATGCCCCTGTTACCTAGCAGTAAAATAGGTACCTAGGTGTTAGTCAGCTGTCACGGGCTGCTTCCTGGGGGTGGAGGCCTTACGTCCAAATTTGACCATAGCGCGCATACGAGCCAAAAGTGACGTTATTTTTAAGAGGACGGGTTGCGATGGCAAACATAGAAATGTTCCCAACCACAAGGGGGTTTCTATAGGCCATTGCTCCTCATGCCTCTGAGGGGTGTCAGGTTCTGGCTCGTGGTCCCCGGTAGGCCTAAGAACTCCATTCACACTGACTGATGCCAAAGTCTGACATATCCATATCAGTCTGGATAAGCTCCGGGTCTCACCCAGAAAATGGCGTTACATTACATTCAATGCTGTTTTTTTCCAATTTTCTGTTCAACTGGGTTTCATTTGGATGAGATACCATTCCAGTGTAGTATTTGTATTTAAATTTCAATGCAATTTAACCTTTTAATGAATAATCTAATGTATGAGGCAAGAGAATTTTAGTACAAATTTTGGGTTACCTGCATTTGTGTATTAAGAATATTTAATTTTTTGTATCAAAGAAATGAGAAATAGTCATGGTTTATTTAGACTATGGTTGATATACTTTAATTTAATTGTATGCTGTATTTTGCAAAAGAATCTAAGCTTTGATGACCAAACCACACACACCAGGAGATGAAGAAACGACGACATTTCGGTCCGTCCTGGACCATTATCAAGTAGTCATTATCACACATGACTTGATAATGATCCAGGACGGATCCAAAACATCATCGTTTCTTCATCATCTGGTGTGTGGTTTGGTCATTATATCTTCAGCCACATTATTGTGACTCATTTTCTACAATCTAAGCTTTAATATTTTTACCAAACTTTTCATGTTTTTCAGGATTGGGAGATACTTAGCACGAAGAGAGATTTATGGTAATATTGTACACTAAGGTTTTAAGTCATGTATATAGATTCACATAAAAAATATATATTTTCAAGTGTCTGCATTTGGCTGGAGAAATATGCTTGGCATGTATGCCACTCAAGAGATAGACACTGTTCATTTATATGGCCATGAACTGTCAAGTATATAAATTGAAATTTTACTTGTATAAACCTATGCATGTTCCTCCAAGTCAATTTGCTTGATCTTTTCTTTTAAAGAAATTGTTCCCAAAAATTAGGAATAAAAGTGTTATTACCCTGTTTTGTATTTATTTTGTTAATAAGAATGTATATATAGAAGGTTTTACCATTGTTATTGCAGAATTGAGGTTGAAACTCGTACCATTATGACAAAATAGCATGGTTTTGCAATTTATTAGAATTGCATACTATTCAGTCTTCCTACTTACGAAAGTTGCAAAGATTTATGGCTACGTGTGATAATACTGAAATGAAGTGGTGTTGAAAAGGCTTTCCACCGTAGACATGCACAGTCATTGCCATTGCATGTATGGCTGCAGGAGTACTCGCATGTATAGCTGCAGGAGTACTCACATGTATAGCTGCAGGAGTACTCACATGTATAGCTGCAGGAGTACTCATGTATAGCTGCAGTACTCATGTATAGTTGCAGGAGTACTCACATGTATAGCTGCAGGAGTACTTGCATGTATAGCTGCAGGAGTACTCATGTATTGCTACAGGAGTACTCGTGTATAGTTGCACGAGTACTCACATGTATAGCTGCAGGAGTACTCACATGTATAGCTGCAGGAGTACTCACATGTATAGCTGCAGGAGTACTCACATGTATAGCTGCAGGAGTACTCACATGTATAGCTGCAGGAGTACTCACATGTATAGCTGCAGGAGTACTCACATGTATAGCTGCAGGAGTACTCACATGTATAGCTGCATGAGTACTCACATGTATAGCTGCAGGAGTACTCACATGTATAGCTGCAGGAGTACTCATGCATAGTTGCACGAGTACTCGCATGTGTAGCTGCAGGAGTACTCGCATCACTTTGTGTCAAAATGCATGGCATAAACAAAAAAAAATATAGTGTTATTTAGGAGTATGAAATACATGTAAACAAAACCTGCTGAATATGTATTTTAGTTGAATTAAGGCAAATTTAAGAGATTAACTCACAAAGTGTAGTAATTATGATTAAATTGTTGAGGACAAGAAGCCAGTACGCTAAGCCGGCCGAGGGGCTTAACGAAGTCCCCCCCCCCCCCCTGGGTAACTACTGACCTTCCTCAGGATGCATCCCACAACAGTTGCCTAACTCCCGGGTACATATTTTACTGCTAGATGAACAGAGGCATCAGGTAAAAGGAGACATGCCCAACTGTTTCTGCCCTTGAGGTTATCTTGAGATGATTTCGGGGCTTTTTAGTGTCTCCACCCCCAGGAAGCAGCCCGTGACAGCTGACTAACACCCAGGTACCTATTTTACTGCTAGGTAACAGGGGCATAGGATGAAAGAAACTCTGCCCATTGTTTCTCGCCGGCGCCTGGGATCGAACCCAGGACCACAGGATCACAAGTCCAGCGTGCTGTCCGCTCGGCCGACTGGCTCCCTGCTTAGGGATTGCACCCAGGTCCCTCAATTGTGTGCAGAGTGTATAAACCACTGTGTTATCAGACCCATGATAGAGGTTACACAATGCTTGACATCAAAATAGCTATACATGACTGGCAAATAGAAGAAAGAAACACACAAATCACAATAGCATGATGCATCAAATGAACAATGAAATGAAATGAGCAGTAGATTAACGTGCGTCTGGGATCCTCTCGGATGTAGGTTCGAACCCTCATCACGGCCCTTGTGGATTTGTTAAGAAAGAAAGATACAAAATAAGAATTTAATGGTAGACTGTAAGACCACCATTACCAGTTCAATTGTAAGAATAAACAATGGAGAAAAAAATAAGAGTAGAATTGCCAATGTAAGATTAACAAAAATAGTACCAGGAATGGCTCAATTTTAAGCTTAAAAAAAAATGAATGTACAGGTAATGTAAAGTTTTTGAGAAGTTGCAACATTTGTAGAAAGTATCAGATGTAAAAATTAAATGCTCAAAATGGTGTGATGAGGAAGCAGGGACGGTAATCCAGAATAGAGAGACATGTCAGAAGGCACAGGAGGCAAAAACATGAGAAGGTTGCAATTTAGCAGCATGAAATTAACACAATTGTATTCCCAGTTTACTATGATAAAATAGATGTACAGTATTGTAGTACTGTACTGTTCAATAATAAAAAATAGTTTAGAAGCAACATTCAAATTGGGAAGGAAAGTTTACATTGATGGTAATCAATTTGTTTAGGCATTATATATATACAAGATACTTGAGAAGTATGAATTTTGCCCATATCTTGAGGATATCTTGAGATGATTTCGGGGCTTTAGTGTCCCCGCGGCCCGGTCCTCGACCAGGCCTCCACCCCCAGGAAGCAGCCCGTGACAGCTGACTAACACCCAGGTACCTATTTTACTGCTAGGTAACAGGGACATTGGGTGAGAGAAACTCTACCCATTGTTTCTCGCCGGCGCCCGGGATCGAACCCGGGACCACAGGATCACAAGTCCAGCATACTGTCCGCTCGGCCGACCGGCTCCCTAATCACACCCATGGGTGTGATTAGGACACATTAAGATAGGTAGGACACATTAAAGAGGTAGCACAGTGGTGACATGAGAAGGTTTACACAAATGGGCAGCAACTGAAAATGCAAAATATATATTGAGAGTGACCTGGAGGAATGACAGGAGGACGGGGATGTGATAGCTCATGGCCATTTGTGTGATATGTTCGAAGGCATGGGATTAAGGTACGTTAGGTTTGAATTTAATGGTTACAATGAGTGTCGTCGTTATCATTATTCCTACAATAAATTACACATCACTCGTCCATTCAGTATATCACTCACACTATGTATCGACAGGTATACAGCACTTGTGAATGGTCATACTGGACACACACATACATTCACTCCTTCCCTATAAGCATCTTAAACCCTACATTGTTCATTAAATGTTTTGAGCTCTACTTCTTCACAAACCGGCTCACCATGTCCTCCACCTTCTTCTAGGCTTAACTCTTGCTTCCAGATTCATTCATATTCATGAGAAAATACAAGAAAATACACACACACACACACACACACACACACACACGCACGCACGCACGCACGCACGCTCACTCACTCACTCACTCACTCACTCACTCACTCACTCACTCACTCACTCACTCACTCACTCACTCACTCACTCACTCACTCACTCACTCACTCACTCACTCACTCACTCACTCACTCACTCACTCACTCACTCACTCACTCACTCACTCACTCACTCACTCACTCACTCACTCACTCACTCACTCACTCACTCACTCACTCACTCACTCACTCACTCACTCACTCACTCACTCACTCACTCACTCACTCACTCACTCACTCACTCACTCACTCACTCACTCACTCACTCACTCACTCACTCACTCACTCACTCACTCACTCACTCACTCACTCACTCACTCACTCACTCACTCACTCACTCACTCACTCACTCACTCCACTGGTCTACGTTTATATAAAATGCTCAACCCATCTCATTTCACTCCTCAATTTTTATATTTTATTTTGTTTTTTTTTTATATAAATTTTACTCTACGTCTCCATAACTTTTCCATTCCTGTCTCTATTGTAACAGCTCACACACATCGCGTAATACTCATTTCTACTGCAGTAACTCATGCATTCTTGTATATATTGAGTAACTAGGGGAGAAAATTTTTTTTTACCACATGGAACTATAGTTTAGCTCTGTAGTAATTATTGTTTTTGTAACAACATCAGTAAAATGAATGTGAAATATAATTAAAATTCCAAAAGACCAACTAATCTTTGGAGACTGATTAGAACCTTTTATATTTTTTTTGTTTTATCCTTTTGTGAGGTTTGTCTTAACAACAACAGTCCAGAGACATCCGTTTGTGATGCAATACTCAAGACACATTTCATTATATTCATTTTCTTAGAAAAATTTGTTTATTTAAAATTATAATGCATTCGACAACAATGACATTTAAATTTACAATTGATTAAAAAATGTATAATGATATTTTCTATGTATCAAAGTTAATACCTTACATTTACTGTACTATAATGTATACAGTGTACTGTAGTATACTGTACTGTAATGTACTGCAGTGCACTGTAGTGGTCTATATTATAATGTAAAAGGTATGTAGTAGGCCTCATGCCCTGATAATTCAGAAATGTGTATAAAAAATAAACATATACACATACACTATACATGCTATATTATATATATATAATTGTTACAGTAATATATTTTGAAGAGAAATGTTGAAGCTTGAGTAACATTTTGAACACACGATTTGCTGTTATAAAGAGGTAACCCGAGTGATTTCGGGTTATTTGCTATCATAAAGTGGTAACTCGAGTGACTTCAGGTTATTTGCTATCATAAAGAGGTAACCCGAGTGACTTCGGGTTATTTGCTATCATAAAGAGGTAACCCGAGTGACTTTGGGTTATTTGCTATCATAAAGAGGTAACCCGAGTGACTTCGGGTTATTTGCTATCATAAAGAGGTAACCCGAGTGACTTCGGGTTATTTGCTATCATAAAGAGGTAACCCAAGTGACTTCAGGTTATTTGAAATGTCTTTGTGGGGGACAACATTAATTACTTCTCTTTGTTATTTAATGCCAGATTGGACTATAAATGTCATAAATATTGATTATATGATGGCACTTGAGACAAGGCTGTGCTTTGTTGATACAAGGCTTTAAATCCAAGGTTGTGTTTTGATATAAATGGTACAAAGGCCACTCTGTTGGCCTCATTCTGTGTGGAGTTGGTGTTGCGCTACAGGCCTGTCAACCATGGGAGGTGTATTATGGCCACCACAGTACCTCAATGACCAGCCCCCAAGTTGACTTTAATCCTCAGCTGTGGTTGAGACCAGTGTAAACTGAAGGGAGGGTATACTGTAGTACACCCTTTGGTATATGTTTTATAGCATGGAAGTTGCAAACTCAAATGATAGCATATCTAGAAGATTTATTTTATGCATTTATACATTTTATTCAGATTAGATTGATTTACTTTATACATTTCATGAATAATGATAGTTCTGTTTTTATATATCTTTCAGAGGTTTATTATTTCTCATTTAATTTTATTCCCTACAATTGCATTTGTGACACGATTAGCAAAAATATCTTGCGTGCAATTTTTTTTAAGGGATTCATTGTCAATTGAAACAGAATTAATCATATTTGGTTACACTGCAAGATATGGTTTTTCTAGTCATTTCACATTTTGTATTGCTAATAAGGTCTCTATTTCATCCCTGCATTCAATTTTTGTTAACTGCTCCATGTTAATGTACAATAAGCTACATATTCATTTTGTTGTTAACAACCCTGTTTTGAATATCAGCAAAATTGTAATATAATCTAAAAAGTAAGTATTTAAGGCTTATTTATAAATAGCAACAAAATTAATCACCCGTGTAAGATATTTTATACAATTTCCACATGGAAAGTTATCAGACATAATGTGTATATGATGGTAATGCCACAAACTCTTTGGAATTTGGTTCAAGAAAAGTTTATTTCTGTATCTCAAGTTCTAAATATTTTAAACTCAAAGAAATATATACAGTATATATTTCTTAAACAAAAAAAAAATTATAATTATAAAGTACAACATTTTATCTTATAATCTGTGAAGCTTGGCCAAGAGTTATGCACTATTATGCAAAGTTTTAGATTATTATTATTATTTATTTATGGGGGAGAGAGTAGAAGTTTGCCGAGCTTTGGCCAGTTTCATTTTCATTCTTTGTGCCTGAAAGTAGATTAAACATGAGGTAAATATATCAGTTGTTTCATTTGTGAAATTGAAAGAATGTTAAATTTACGGATATTTCTTGTATAAATCCAAGAAAACATATATTGTGCACAGGTGAATTCCTGACTGCAGGAGGATACAAATCTGATCTGCGTCTCGTTCAAGACATCCATAATTGTGTATCAGTCATGTCCAAAGGTTTCAAAGAAATCAAGCTTTGAGTGTACAATATATGAAAAGTTTCCTTCTGATTATGACATTGTTGCTTCCCTAGATCCTGCTGGTCTTATGAACATGTAGTTAGAACAGTTGGATTTCACTGGCACATTGACCTTTTCAAACTTCCCTCCACTCTGTACAGCTGGTAGAAAAGCCAAGATTAGAACATCATTCGTGAATCCCTGTACCATTCTGTACAGGGATTCACTCAGGTTTCAACGGGAAACCTGAGGATACCAGAGCAAGACTGCAACTGGGTAGATGATAATACACAGATAGAGAAAATTGGATCTCGTCGAATGACACTTTTTTTTTTTTTTTTTTTAGTGCAAAAGCGGTAGTTAAGGTAGGACTGCATGAAAGTGTCCTGCCGATCAATGGAGATGACAAAATGGTGGAGAACAGCATTAATATCATTTTGCCTGATTTCCCACAGCAAAGGCAAGAAGAAAAACAGCCTCGAGCATCAGATCCTTGACTGAGGAACAAACTTGAAACTGATCAAGCAGAAAAATTCAACACCTTGTCGAGAGACTTTGAGGTCCAACTGTGGATGGGAATGTTTTTCTAGGTACAGTACATGAATTTGGGTTGCCGATCATGTTCTAGGGTGTACAGTATTTTAGTCTGTCGACTGCTATATCGGCCAAAATATTAAACCATAAAAGAGGGGGGTTTCACAAGCTGCTCAAATGCACTTTAGGTCACTGAAGTACTTGAGGCACAAAGCCATTGACCATGAGGGGGGTGAGAACACTTGTAGATTATTCAGCCACAAGAAGGAAGGACCGTAACAATATTCGCTATTGCCATTTCCACTTCACCCGTAGTCTCGTCACGTCTTTCTTAAAATATATCGATGCACTACGATAGTGCATCGTGGCTGATCTTTTAGTCTAATTACTACAGCTGCTAATAATATACAGCTAATAAACTACAGCTGATCTTTTAGTCTAATTTCTATGATTAACTAAAAGTAAAAAAAAAAAATGGAAAGAATACACCTTTTTATTGAACGCAACACTGGTAAGAAAACTATAATCATTAGAAGAAACACACAATTTTGACAAATACTGAAATGCTACAATGTAGGTACAGTAACAGTACATGTGTATGTCATGTACATGTCAATGGGGTAATGAGTGACTGGTTTGATAGTAATGTAGGGCTGGGTAAGACCTAATGTGATTAATTAGAGTGTAAAATTTGACGAGAACAGATATAATGTTTTAAATGGTGAAACACGGCTTTATACACTTATTTAGGTGTGCTAGAGGACTATGAATGTTAATATCAACTAAAGTAAAACTACTATAGTGGAACAAAAATGGTTGGAAGTGGTACAAATTGTGTTGATGAACATAACTATTCATTGTAAGTGATTTTTTAATATTAATTAATATCTATGAACATTGTACTCTATTATTGACTTTTTTCTGACTGACAACAACTGCCCCATGAAAGTGGGAAATGGGATAATGTGTGTGTGTGAGGCAGGTTTGCATAATGTCACCTGAGCTATTTAATATTTTGTATAGTGCAGTGGTCAGTCTCTTCCTAGTCGAGAGATCCCAGTTTCAATTCCCACAACATGACAGACGTTTGAGCAACTTTTCTTTCACCTGATCCTAATATTCACCTAGCAGTAAATGGGTACCCCAGAGTTAACAGCTTTAATGGACTGCATCTCAGAGAAGGTCGAGAGTTGTCGATGAAAGGGGGGGGGGGGCTGAGATAGGCCTAACAGGCTTTGTCACTTACCATAGGGAAACAAAACAATTCATATACTGATTGTTTAGGCAGGAGCACTAAACAATACCCAAAGCTGGAATGGGTCGTGGTATCTTTGCTGCTGACATGTCTGTGCAGATGACGCAATGGAATTGCGGAAGATTGTGAATGAATTTAATAAGTGTGTGCAAGAGAAGAAATGTCAAGATAACTGTAGGTAGAACGGTGTTTGAGAAGGGACTGGAATGGTATGGGTTTTGTTGATACTTTTGTGTGATAATGATTTGAAGTGTAGGATAAAAAATAAATAAGGAGATAGATATTGGAAATAGTAGCAAGTTTTAGATACCTGAGAGCAGGGTTTGGATGAAAGTGGGAGAATGGAATGTGAATGAGTGGGGGTAACAGGTGGAGAGTTACTGTAGGAAGGAAAGAGTTACTGTAGGAAGGAAAGAGTTACTGTAGTATAAATGGGGTTAAGTCAGAGTGGGAAAATGTAAGTGGAGTGCCTCAAGGCTCTGTTCTGGGACCTCTGTTATTTATAATATATGTAAATGATTTAGATTCAGGTTTGAGCAGCAATATTTGCAAATTTGCTGATACAAAAATCAGAGGGGAAATAAATATGGAAAACGACTCACTATTACTTCAAGACGATCTAAATAAGATTTTGAAATGGTCAAAAGATTGGCAGATGCAGTTTAATGCTGACTAATGTAAGGTTTTGAGAATAGGTAATAATGATAAGTTACAAGATACGAGCTAGATGATGGAGTCGAGATTGCGAAAGGGATCTGGGATTATTATTATGATTATTAAGAATTTAAAACCAAAAAATTAATGCATAAATGTTTGTAATAAGGCAAATAGGACACTGGGATTTATTAATGAAAGTGTTAGTAACAAGACACCTGGTGTTGTTCTTCAGCTATATCTTGCTCTGGTTAGGCCTCATTTAGATTATGCAGTTCAGTTTTGGTCGCCGTACTATAGAATGGATATAAATTTACTTGAACGTGTCCAGCATAGGATGACAAAGTTAATCCCACAAAATTAGAAACATGTCATATGAAGAAAGATTAACAAAGCTTAAATTGCATTCACTGGAAAGGCGAAGAGTTAGGGGTGACATGATAGATGTTTACAAGTGGATGAATGGACATAACAAAGTGGATATTAATAGGGTATTAAAAGTATCACCAGAAGACAGAACACAAAACAATGGGTAAAAATTGGATAAGATTAGATTTAGGAAGAAAGATCTGGGTAAATACTGGTTCGGCAACAGGGTTGTTGAACCAATTACTGCGTAACGTGATGGAGGTGGGGTCCCTTGATTGTTTGAAACGTGGGTTGGACATGTATATGAGTGGGATTGGGTGGTTATAAATAGGAGCTGCCTTTTCTCCTCTGCATCTACTATGCTTGACATCCGCCCTCCTGCGCTACCTTTGCTGTCTCTGAGACGTTTCAACTGATGTTGGAAAATGCCCTTTAAAACATCATGGTGTGCTTTTCCCCAATCACTCCCCGGGCTGACTTGCCACAAACCCTGGCCCCTGGCACTATGAGGAAGCAATCCTCAGCTGTCCCTACGTCCAAGTGTCCTGCCATTTTGCCTGACAAACCAAATCCATCTTGCATTTCTGCAAAGCATCCTCACCCCCCTCCCAGGTCTTCCTCATGCTGTCCAACTGGCGCATCTAATTAGACCAATGTGATTGCGTCCAATACATAAACCTCCGGATTCCACCTCCGTCTTACCCTGTCCTCACCTGACTTCCCTACCCTACACGTTCATCCCATGTTCTTTCATGTGCTCACACACTTCCCTTCCTTTCTCATATCTGATTAGCATCTGCCTCCTATTTATCCTTCACGTCCCCACCTTCATCTCTTGCCTACATCTCACACTCTCTAGTTCTGCGATGAACATATTTACATAGTTCCCTCCAAACGTCTCGTCCACAGTTTCATCTACTCCACATTTCATTCCCTCACCCCCTTCACTCGTGCATTTCTTCATCATACTCTTGTATGAAATTTCATGTCAGGAGTGGTAGTACTGTAGTATAATGTTTCAGATGCCCTTTTTGACTCCCCATAACACACACACACACACACACACACACAAAAATGGAATTACAATGATCACCTCCCACTTAACAATACTCTCTCCCCTTTTTTATCCTACAGTTCTAATTACTGTCTTGCCATAGGCACAATTAGAGCACCATATAAACATCAGAGGTCCACAGCTGTTCAATATTCTCCCAGTAAGTATTAGAAATATTGCCAGAAGAAAGGTGGACTACTCAAAGAAAGCAATTAGACAGGTTCCAGCAAGAAGTGCCAGACCAACCAGGTTGTAATGGATATGTGGGCCTGTGGGCTGCTTCAAAGCAACAGTCTGTTAGTAAATTATCGCAAGATGGTCCCAGATCTGTCTCAGGTAGTAAAAAAGAGCACCCAAAATCTGGAGGTATGCTCTTACCTTCTCTTTAACACCATAAGCTGACTTTTACTTACACTATCAACTTTCTTCACTTGTACACACTATCAAACTCATTCATAACATTTTACAATTCTTCACTCCTGACAAAAAATTGCACTACAATTCACTTCTGTTTAAGGCAGCATTGACTTTACCTTCTTAACTGAACTGTAATACGTATATACGTACATTATTACAACGAACCAGGCAGACATTACATATTCCTGTCTTACACCCTGCTTGATACCTGCTTGATGGGGTTCTGGGAGTTGTTCCACTCCCCAAGCCTAGCCTAAGGCCAGGCTTGACTTGTTAGTTTGGTCCACCAGGCTGTTGCTTGGAGCGGCCCACAGGCCCACATACCCACCACAGTTGGTCCGGCACGTTTTTTAGAAAAACAGTCTAGTTTTCTCTTGAAGATGTCCACAGTTGTCCGGCAATATTTCTTATGCTCGCTAGGAGGACGTTGAACAACCATGGACCTCTGATGTTTATAGTGTTCCCTGATTGTGTCTATGGCACCTCTGCTCTTCACTGGTTCTATTCTGCATTTTCTTCCATATCGTTCACTCCAGTATGTTGCTATTTTACTGTGTAGATTTGGGACCTAGCTGTCCAGTATTTTCCACGTGTATATTATTTGACATCTCTCTCGTCTCCTTTCTAGTGAGTGCATTTGGAGAGCTTTGAGACGATCCCAATAATTTAGGTGCTTTATCGCGTCTATGCGTGCTGTATATGTTCTCTGTATACTTCCCTCTATTACCATCCAAGTTTAAAATAACAAATACTGTACCATAATACACAAAAATAAATTACTAGAATTGACAAAAAAAATTTGGATAAAACTACAGCAAAAGTACAGTACCTTAAAATATCACGGTACTATACTCCCTTCCCCTTTTATGCCACCAAGAGAAAGTGCAACTTGGATACCTTAATAACCAAGCTCTCCCACATCGAGAGATACCTTCCAAAAGCAAAATAAATTAATAAATACAGTACTATATATGTACCCTACACTCCAAGGCTAGTGTTAGTAAGTCTGTAACATAAATTTTCGATGTTTACTGAAAACTGGGGCAATTCGATATTGGTAAGTATTTCCTTCAACATAGCCATTGTTATTCACACGGCTTCTTAGCTCCTCAATTGTGGGATGTGATGACTTGAATGCTGTCTGACCTCTACTTGCTTCTTGTTCCCATCGAGTTCGAAGTGCTGTGACGTGGCCTATAAAGAAAAAATATATATATACTGGTATATACATTAACATTTGCAATTACAGTAAACTGAAAGCAAAATATATTTGTATATATTTGGTCTATTATTTCTCCCCAACTGAGAACTAATATCTTGATGTTTGACCTTAAGAAGCAGGTTAGTCTCTGGTAATTATGACGAGGTAGACCTACATACGATACCCTAAATCTCCCCTGAACATGGGAATGATCTTGTATCTCTCAACTTTATAATTATATCAGTCTTACCCACACACTGTAATGCCCTCACATCCATATTAAGTGGTCTGAAAACACTGCATAATTGGATGGCATCATTTGTCTGTGTTCTTACTGGGTTTATTCAGGACATTCCACACATTGTACATATATAAAAAAACTTTCTAATACAGTAGTATCAGATGCATTACAAACAAAAATAATGTACATTGTTAAGAATATACTAGTGTATACTGTATTTAAAGATTTTTTTGGTAAATATTCCTACCTGACTAAAAATAAACAAGCATTAACAAAATTCTAAGATTAACAAAAGTATTATTGTTACTGCACTTATATATTATAATATGTAAAATTATAAGGTAAAAATAAATAAAATAGTGATAAGAACAGATGATAAGAACTGATATAAACAAGCAATTTGGTAAGCAAAAAACCAGCGTTGAATGTAATGAAACGCCATTTTCTGGGCGAGACCCGGATGCTCCCCAGAGCTATCCCAGGCTGATATGCTAATGTCAGACTTTGGCATCAGTCATGTGTATGGAGTTCTTAGGCCTACTGGGGCCTACCTCCCTTAGAGAGGCAAGGGGAGCAATTACCTATAGAAACCCCCGTGTGGTTGGAAGCATTCTATGTCTGCCATCGACCGGGTCAAACATCCAGAAAGGTAAGCATCCCAAAACAAACCCCTATTCTGGTGAAAATTGCTACCAAAAGCCGAACTAGTGGATAGAACTCCCCAACAGAAAACAAGCAAACTAGTATGACATCACACGTCGCCGCGCCGCTGTCTATGCAGCTCCCCCCTCCACAGGAGGGGGAAGGGGGAGCCCCAGACCTCTCACACTGGCTATCCACCGATCAGTTCTGAGGCTGGATGTCAAAACACGCAAAAAAACGCAGACCGGAGGGAGGGAGGGTTGCCGGAGAGCCTCCGGGTCACACCCAGAAAGTGGCATTTCATTACATTCAATGCTGGTTTTCTGGGGGGGAGCCCCGTCGGCTCCCCGGAGCTAACTACCCACAGAGGAAGGTCAAAGGGACGGATCCGGGAGGCGATCACCACGCACCCCTCAATGGAAAGCGAGACAACTGGCTGCAACCGCCAACCCAAGGCGACACAGGCCCTGCTTGACCGGGCCTGAACCCGGTCAAGTTCCGGCCCTGCTTCCCGGGCCCGAACGGGCCCGGGAATGACACGAGACAACGAGCAGCCAGGCCCCTGTACGACCGCCAAAAAGCCCTGTGCCCGAAGTCAGCAAGGACACGCCGCCAAGACGGCAGCTAGAGCAGCGAATCCACGAACGCTATGGGCACGGGCAAAGAACACAGGCTGACTAGCTGCAGTAACACGACGGACGATCCGGGACACCTTCACCCGAGAACAGGGAAGAACGGAACTGGATCAACCCAAAGCGCACCCATGACACAGAAGCTGCGGCGCGCACATAACAGCGGAGAGCCACAACTGAACACAAAACAAGACGCACCTCCGACCCGACCAACCAAGCACCAACAAACCAAGGACCCTCCGGAACGCAGCAGCCTCACCCCGTGCCAGAAAAGAGGGAGATGGGTGCAACTGAACAAACCAAACGCCATGACCGAAGGAGCAGAAAGTCCTGCGCCGGAGGAGAGCAAGAAGCTCAGCAACCCAAGCCCTAGAGGCAAACGCCAACAGGAAAAAAAGAGCCGTCAAAACAAACCTGAACTGAAGGGGCCACCACCAACCGAGGAGAAGAAAGAGCACACCGTCCAGAGACCAGGATGGCCCAAACGGCGCAAGAACAGGCTGGAGGTGAAACAACACACGAGACAGCTTATGAACGGTGCAGACGTAAAACCAAGACCGAAAACAAGACGAAGAGAAACAAGACGGGAAGCCGCACCGGCAGACGACAGGCAATCCAATAATACGGGAAGGAGCAAAAACCACCCTGAACCTTCGAGAACACAGAAGCAAGCACAAATGACGAAAGCACAGAAAAACCCAGTCGCACCTGAGACCTAAAGTCATGCAGAACCCCAAGAAGAGGGGAACATGACGGAGAAGTCCCGTCCCAAGTTAAAATGGGTGAACAACGGAGAAGATCACTCACCGGAGAGAAGGAACCAACGGGCATAAGGGACAAGGAACTGAGCCCGGGGCAGGGCTGACGCCCAACAACTCGTGCGGAGAGTGGGGAAGGAAAAACCCCACTCTGCACAACCGCAAGCTCCGCTCAGAGGGTAGAAAAAAGCCCCGGCAGGTTTCAGTGGAGCCAGAGGCCCCCCAAGTCAGCTCTTCCCCAGCCCCAGGAACCCAACGGCAGGCCCCGGGGCCGAGCCGTCCCCCCAAAGCCCCAGCCTCAAGAAAAACCGGGGCAGCCGTGAAAAACACAAAGGAAGGAAGCCCACTGGCAGACTCATACAACACGGCTGGAGGAACAGGCTTGAATATCCCCGTCGCTACCCCGGAAGGGGAATTCCCCGAGACCAACCAAGTCTCAAAACCATGGAAGCCCCGCCCCGACCCCGAACCTTCAGACAGTAAAGACCCGGATGCAGGGTGGAAAGGGGGGGAGGGACCGACAAGACCACCAACCAAAACGGGGCAGCCTCGGGGCTTCCGGGGAGTAAACAATCTAGCGTGTTGCCACCGAAACTTAACGTGCAACACCCATGCTGCCTGCACCCACTTAGTCAGCAGAAGACTGGGTAACCGAGTCACAACAAGCAACCAAACTCGCAGGACCCCGGGACGAAGATGTCACCGACCCCACAGGCAGCTGACGGAGGCAAAACAGTGAGTGTCACCCTGAGACAAGGGGACAGAGCAACCCTCAAACTTGCACAAAGTGAGGGGGGGGGGGGACACCAGCGCCACATCCATCAGGCCCACGATCCCCCTAGGGGTTTCCCAAGGTTCTGAGCGTTTACTATAAGAGGACTCGCGCTCAGGTAATCCTAGGCAGGGTACTGCTAACCGGCGCCCATGTCTACCAAACAACTTTCTAAGAACTAAACCCCCGGGACGTGTACACTCACAGGGGTTTATATAGCAGGGGAAACCACCAGAAGAAGGAAGAGAAACCAGTACAAAGGGGGCAAGAACCAAAGGCAGACCCCCCCCACCAGGGAGACAAACAAAAAGGAAAAGGAAAACCCCTGCAAGAGGACAGCGCACCCAGGTGGAACAGAGCCAACCGCTATGATTGGTGAAAACAAGCTGCGCAGTACCCTGCGCCCCTACCAGTGCAAACTGCCCCTTACCTTAAGGCGAACAGGGAGACAGAACCCCCATCACACAAAGGGCGGCCGAAAACCAAAAAATAAATGGCCTGGCAGAAGCAGGACCCAAGGAACTTATGGAAGGTAACCCCAAGCTCCAAGGGCAGTACTTACAGGGCACCTAGGGAAGGCAACCCTAGGGCGCATACTTGTATGTGATATGGCGCATACTTGTATGTGATATGTGAGTACTGGAGACTCACTCCTGGCTTACACACCACCTAGAAGACAGGCACCACACTCTCGGCACAGTGCTGAAACAACCACTGGAGCTGGAACACACAACCGGTGCCTTTAGCATCAGCTGAAGAACTGATGGGTGGATAGCCGGTGTGAGAGGTCTGGGGCTCCCCCTACCCCCTTCCGGGGAGAGGGTAGCTGCGTAGACAGCGGCACGGTGATATGTGATGTCATACTTGTTTGCTTGTTTTCTGTTGGAGAGTTCTATCCAATAGTTTGGCTTTGGGTAGCAATTTTCACCAGAATATGGGTTTGTTTTGGGATGCTTACCTTTCTGGATGTTTGACCCAGTTGATGGCAGACATAGAATGCTTCCAACCACACGGGGATTTCTATAGGCCATTGCTTCCCTTGCCTCTCTGAGGGGGGCCAGGTTCTGGCCGTGGTCCCCGGTAGGCCCTAAGAACTCCATACACATGACTGATGCCAAAGTCTGACATTAGCATATCAGCCTGGTATAGCTCCGGGGAGCCGACGGGGCTCCCCCCAGAAAAATTTAACTTGTGAAGACACTCCCTAGTGACCCAGATGATCTCTCTGCCCACCAACACTCCACAGTGACTGGCCTACACACAGGGGGACTTCCATGACTCTGCCTAAGGTGTTTCTTGGCCTAGCCATGCTTGTGTTGCACTTTAGGGTTTGGCACACTGCTGGTATCCTCGTTTCCTCACCTCTCATCTTTTCGCACCAAGAATCCCAGATTTTTCCTTTTCCCAACTTTTTTCAAAAACCTTAGCCTAATCTGCTTGGGAAGGTATTGAGCAGACCCTCCTAGAAATCAAGTACAGTATTGAACGTACTTAACTGCCCTTTCCTAGTGTGCCCCCTTACCTTGTGGGTACCATTACGTTGGTTCCAAGGATCAACATCCCCATGGCCCGGTCTCTCATGAGGCCTCCTGGTTGGTGGTCTGGTCAACCAGACTGTTGGACATGACTACTTGCAGTCTGATGTATGAATTACAACCTGGTTGATCAAATATTCCTTGGAGGTGTTTATCTAGTTCTCTTCTGAACACAGTGAGAGGTTGCCAGTTATGCTCCTTATGTTTCGAGGGAGTGTGTTGAGAAGTGTTGGGTGGAAGGGTTTGATTTGGGAGGCTCAAGTGAATTGTGATGCTGGCTAGTGCCTGTTACCTGGGCTGCCTCCTGGTGGTGGTTGAGTACATCATGATTAGTGTTTCCCTCACGGAAACTATTGTTTGCCTTGTTACCTCTCGGCACCTTACTTTCTTCAAGCTATTGTTCATTTTGTTGC